GCAAGTTGAAACTCAATGAAGCAACATATAGCACATTGGAGATTGAATGATCATTTGATATAGCCACTTTACCCAATCCTTTAACTTTGCCCTTTGAGTTATCTCCAAATATGATTCTTTCTTGTCTATCTACTTCTTTATCTAGTGAGGTGAACATACGAGAGTCACCGGTCATATGTTGTGTGCAACCACTATCAATCACCCAATGACTTCCACCGGTCTTGTAGTTCACCTACACACAAGAGATCAAGATTTAGGAACCCAAACCTGTTGAGGGCCCTTCACCTTCTCAACAAGTGACTTTGCAACCCAAATTTTCTTAGGCCTATTCTTGTTTGGAGATCCTAAGAACATCACTTTCAACTTTCCACTAGTATCCTTTCTAAGCATGTAGTGAGCATTGAAGGCAAAGGGTCTAGCATGCTTGGACAAGGGTTGTGGTGGTGGAGTTTGGCACTCATGAGCAAAATAGCCTTCTTGTCCACACTCAAAGCATCTCTTTGGCTTCGGCTTTGATTGTTGTTGTTGAACTTGAGCCTTCTTCTTCTCTACATGTGCCATATATCCAATGCCACTTCTATCCATCTTCATGACGGTGTTCATAAGTAGCTCACTTTGAAGATATTTGCCTCTTGTGAACTTGCTCAATCCAACCTTGAGATGCTCTTTCTCCAACTTGAGCTTCTTGTTCTCTTCCTTAAGAGCATCATTGTTCTTTTCTTCCTTGAGCTTCTTGTTTTCCTCTTTGAGCTTCTCATTCTCAAGGATCAAGTCACCATCATGATCAAGGGTTTCTAGCACAATGGTGTTGTGGCTCTTCATCTTTTCAAGATCTTTCATGAGCTTTTCATTTGCATTCTTGAGCTTAACATACTCATCATAGTCATTGCACTCAACCACTTGCTTACCTTTGCCACTAGATCCTTGCTCAATGCTCTCAACAATTAAATCGTCACATGATGTAGCTATATCAATCTTAACAACATGGTTAGTAGCATCATGTGGCTCATTTGGTAAAAATTCTTGAGCAATAACAAGAGTATCATAGTTGATCTTTAGAGTTGTATATTTATCTTTTAGCTTGTTGTGGCTAGTGATGAGCTCATTGTGCACCCACTCAAGTTTATCATGTTTATCTTTAAGCTCTTTCTTAGAAGATTTGATCTCCTTGAGTTTGGATGACATAGCATCATTTGCTTCTTTAAGCTCAATATTAGCCTTTTCTATTGTGTCACATTTTGCTAAAAGTGAATCATTCTTAGCATCTAGTTTTTCATTTTTAGCTCTACTCTTTCTAATGATCTTAGTATATTGTCTTAGTATTTTAACAAGATCATCATATGAAGGAGAATCATCATCATCATCGCTATTGCTATCATCATCACTAGCTTGCTCACCATCACTACTATCATCATTATTAGTTACCTTGCGTTCACCCTTGGCCATAAGGCATAGGTGTGTAGAGGATGATGGCGGTGGTGGCGGTGAAGATGAGAGATCAATAGCTATGGCGGCCATCTTCTCATTGTCACTATCATCATCGGATGATCCACTAGATGAATCAATGTCCATGAGCCAATCACCGACAATGTAGGCCTTTCCACTCTTCTTCTTGTGGAAGTCTCTCTTCTTGCCATCTCTCTTCTTGTATGGCTTGTTCTTCTTCTTTTCATCTTCTTCTTCATTACTTGAGTCATCTTTCTTGCCCTTGAACTTGTTCTTGAACTTATCTTTCTTGGGCTTGGTGCATTGGTGTGCTAGATGACTAAGTTCACCACAATTGAAGCAATCCATTTCGGAAATTGACTTTCTCCTAGAGCTTGTGAAGAACTTCTTCTTGCCATCGAACTTGATGCCACTTTTGTTTAGTTTCTTTAGCATCTTGGCCGCTTTTTTCACCATGAGAGCAAGATCTTCATCTTCTTCATCACTTGAACTCTCATACTCAAGTCTTGCTTTGCCCTTATCTTGACTAGCTTTGAATGCTAAATCTTTTTCTTTCTTCTTAGTAGAGGATGGGCCATCTTGAGGTGTGATGTGCATGTACATCTCATGAGCATTGATCTTTCCCAAGATTTATGTCGATGTAGCGGTGAAAAGATCACCTTGGTGTAGCACGGTCACAATATGCCCATATTTGTCAATGGGAAAGACACTCAAGATCTTTCTCATAATATCGGACGGTGACATTTGAGTAAGTCCAAGCCCATTGACTTCCTCTACAAGAACATTCAATCGTGAATACATCTCATTAGCACATTCTTTGGGAAGCATCTCAAATGAATTTAGCTTTTTAATAACAAGATGATAGCATTCCTCACGCTCACTCTTAGTTCCCTCATGGAGCTCACAAACGTCCGACCATAGTGTATGGGCGTCTTTGTGGTTCCTTACGCGGTTGAACACATCTTTGCAAAGGCCTCTAAAGATGGTGTTGTGAGCCTTTACATTCTATTTTTCATAATTCACTTCATCACCTTGTAAGTGAGTAGCATCCCGAGGTTTTGGAAAGCCTTGTGAGGCGGCTCTAAGTATCCCAACGTCTAGAGCTTCTAAGTATGCCTCCATGCGAATTTTCTAATATGGAAAGTCATCTCCCTCAAAGATAGGAGGAGGTCCATCCCCGTGAGACATCTTGCTCTAAGCGGTCAAGCTTAAAAACGTGAGCACGAGGCTCTGATACCAATTGAAAGGATCAAGATGCCCAAGAGGGGGGGTGAATTGGGCTAATTCTAAATTTTCTTACAATAATTAAATCCTACGGTTAGCCCAATTAACCCCTTGTGCCTACAAAAGTATTTCTAATAATCTAACGCATAAAGGACTTGCAACCTATGTTCTAAACTTACTCTAGCATGGTAATTCTAGTAATGTAAGAACAAGTATTGAATTGCTCAAAGTAAATGCTCAAAGTAAATTGAGAGAGAGGAACGCGGCGATGTTTTGCCGAGATATCGGAGAGTCGTCACTCCCCACTAGTCCTCGTTGGAGCACCCGCGCAAGGGTGTAGCTCCCCCTTGATCCGCGCAAGGATCAAGTGCTCTCTACGAGTTGATTCTTCGACACTCCGTCGTGGTGAATCACCCAAAACTGCTCACAACTTGAGTTGGGTCATCCACAAGCTCTCCGGATGATCACCAAGCTCTCCAATCACCACCAAGCCATCTAGGTGATGGCGATCACCAAGAGTAACAAGCACGAACTCTCACTTGACCACAACAAGCCTAGGGAGAAGGGTGGATGCACACTTTGCTACTCTTGATCTTGCTAATGAGGTTTCTCTCTTGGATTCTCAAATCTCAATCACCTCACTAGGACCTTGCTCTTCTTGGCACTCACAAACGTGTTTCTCAGCTGTTGGAATGAGCAAAAGTAACTCCACACACAAGTAGAGCTTCTATTTATAAGACAGCTTGAAAAACGAACCGTTATGTGCCTCTGCGGGGTGACCGGATGCTCCGGTCAGTTCAACCCGCACACCAGTGTTTAAGTGTTGACCGGACGCTGGCAGCGTCCGATCACCACTGACCGGACGCGTCCGGTCGCATTTTTCCCTCACTGGATGCTTACTGTACTCGACCGGACGCTGTATCCTCAAGGTCCGGTCAATATTGACTGGACGCGTCCGGTCGCAGATTCCCTTCTCTGGAACCTTACTGGAGTCGACCGGACGCTGGTCTTCAGCGTCCGGTCACTCGACCACTCAGCGTCCGGTCGCACCGAACGCAGTCTCTTGATCAAATGAACTGACCGGACCCTGCGGCCAGCGTTCGGTCGCACCGGAGCTAGCGTCCGGTCAGTATTTGACCCTCCATTCACTTCCAACTCTCGATCATATGTGAATGAAGTTTGCTCCATAGGATCATAGGGCTGTTGTGGAGCTACCTAGTGCTAGTTTTAACAAGTGTGCACCACACCTAACTCACTAGACTCATCTAGGTCAAGCTACCCGTCCATACCCCCTTAATAGTACAGTCAAAGGAAAAACAAAGTCCTAAACTACTCTAAGTGTCTCTCCAACTCTAATCGACACTTAGAACTAATCATCCTTAACCTTGTCGTCCATCCTTTGAAAACCGAAACGATTTCCATCGTAGGGGCATAACCACCTTGATTGCCCAATTGATCTCCATTACCATGACCTAACTTAATTGCTTCTGCAAAACACACGTTAGTCACAGTAATCTTGTATTGTCATTAATCACCGAAACTCAACTAGGGGCCTAGATGCTTTCAGACGCTATTCTGGGACGACAGGTGGCTCCAGGGTTCAGCGCCGTTGGACATCGCTCCAAACTTAGTGCAGCTGATACCAAGGAGAACAAGATCAAGGCTCACCGTTCGCCAAGGAATCACATATAGGCAATGGACGCAAGGGATCAGGGGAAGCATGACCTCCGCGGCAATTGTTGAGTACCTGGATCTCTGGGAAGCTACCGCCAACGTGGTGTTCAGTGATCAGGCGGACAAGACGGTTTGGAGGAGGATGCCCGATGGCAAGTACATCGCCAAGTCTGCTTACAAGATGCTCCACGCAGGCTCCATTCAGTTCCGAGGACATTCGCCCGTCTAGAAGACATGGGCGCCACTGAAAGTGAAGATCTTCCTATGGCTTGCGTTCAAGCGACGCCACTGGACGAACGATCGACACGCAAGGCATGGGTTGGAGGCTAAAGAGGAGTGCTATCTCTGCGATCAGGCTCCGGAGACAATCGACCACATCCTATGCAATTGCCCTTACGCACGAGTTGTGGTTCAACATCTGCCGCACCCTCGGTCGGCCATTACCACCGGTGGCTGGTTCCCTGCTGGCCTGGTGGAGGAGCATGCGAACAAGCTGGCAGGGCCAACAGAGGAAGGGCATGGACTTCCTAGTTGCGCTGACCTGCTGGCAACTATGGAAGGACAGCGATGCTTCAGGGAGGCCTCGACCACAGTACCCGATCTTCTAAGCATCATCATCAAGGCGGAAGCGGATCAATGGGTCAAGGCGGGCGCTATCAACCTAAGGAGTTTAGCCGGGAAGTTATAATTTTCAGTGTAATCTTAGTTTCTTTCTTCAACCGGTCCTGGGCCGGTCTCTTGTAGATGCAGACATTTTCCTTCTTAATGCAATGATACGCAACACTCTTGCGTATTCGAGAAAAAAAATGTTGTCGACACGCCAGCGGCATAGCGCACACCATCATTGCGATCAGGGAGAGCGTCGAGGTGGCATAGCACGCAGCAAGGTCCAGGGGCGGGTCACGCTTGACCTGCTTACTGCCTGGGGTTTTCAGGTAGCCAAAGACGATGCCCCCCTGAAGAGTGAAAGAGACAATGGTGCCAACTGTGGCCAGATCAAAGGTGACCTTCATGGCCGCGTCGTTACTGCTGCCAAGCTCCGAGCTGGGTTCCTCCCGCATCCATGCTCCAGCACTCACGGCTGCACCGACAAGCAACACCACCGGCCCAAGAACTGACAGCAACATGTTGCTTCGGTTCGTCACGATGAGGATTGTATCAGCCACGATTAGCATCCCACCGGTGACTGCAACGAGGATGGTGAGAACCCAGCACCAGACACGGCCCCACCGGCCATGGCCATACTGGTACACGAAGAACTCAGACATCATTAGAACCACAGCACACAAGAAGGTCATGAATATGAATAAGCCCTCGTCGACGAGGAGGCTGCTGAGGCGAGCTTTGTTGTGGCTTGTGGTCGAGTAAAGGGTCTTCATGTCCTTGTAGCTTGCTAGCGCCGCCGTGACGAACACCATGATGGCCGACAGGACAGTCTGGTAAAAAGTTTTTATTCGGTCAGATTCTGATTTCACCAGGTCAGATGCGGGGTTCTCAACGATCGATCCATTTCCAATGCGGGGTTCCTCTTCGATGTCCAATTGTCCATGGACATGGATTCCTGCACAGCACGACCGCAAAAGGAGATTACTACTTGGACACAAGGCAAAGTTCCCTAAGCCTGACGGGGGGAACGGGGTTACAAATCTGTAATGTAAAGTAGATTTCCATTACCCTGGCACAACCAAACAATCATGCCCCACATTGAACTCTGGGTTCAAAGTGCAGAAATGAAAGAAACAAAACTTACTAAGGTTTGCTATATGTTTGAGAATATACAAGCAGCACATGAAAAGTACTAGGAGATAATACTTGCATAATGATGGTGAAAAATTCAACAGCTAAAACAGATCTAGAAATCCACAACAAAATCCTAGAAAGCACCCCACAGATCACATGGTAGTTTACCCGAAGTGGCTGTTCCATTTCTGCAGCCATGCTCATATGGCCAACAGAGACCGGATGCAGCTCAGCCTCCACACCAGCTGGACGAGGAAGATGGAGGGCACTCCTGAACGAGATAGAACAATGTGTAGGGAATTAGAATGACCCGGAGCTATAAACAGAGAATATGGTGCCACTGAATATAGTACCTGGGGGCAGTAGACTTGCAAAGTCTTCTATGACCACATCTAAGCAGAGCTGAATCATTGCCCGGTCATCCCACATAATACACCAAAACAAGGGTCAGTCAGATTTTTCATTTGACCAGCACAGCGAATCAGTGTTGGCTATTAACTGCTTCTTTGATGGGAACATGTCTGGATGGCTTGGTATGTCTCCAGGAGGAGAGACGTTCCTCTGCAGGACAGCAAGTGTACTACGATCTGTTTGGAAGAGGTTACTAAATCATTTCAGAGCACGAATATCTCAAGAATTTCCATCTCCCTCAAAAAAGCCTCAACCATTTTTGTTATCCTAAGTTATTCGTGATCCACACGTATTTCTCTATAAAAAACAAAAAAAATGGCAATTTACAACGAAATTTTATGCCTATTGTCACATTTGCTTAATTTGCAGATATCAGCAAACCAGAGAGAGCAAAATAAAACAGAACAGATAGATGCATTTGGTACAGGAAGGGTAAACTTTCGGATTGCAAGGTGAAAGGAGAAATATGGTAAATGACACGAGTTGAGCCTAACTCAACACTCAACTACTGATATTGTACTTGCAAATCCTTTCTTTTTGTCAGGACCTTTTTTTCTTCTTTTTTTGGCATCTGCAGTAAGCAAAACGACGTGTGATTGTGCGAAGAATTTTCGCCACATTATCTACCTACTAATCAACCACATGGCAATTAGCAAGGCCTCAATCCTATGAAATACAGAGCACTATGAGAGGGAACCAAATCTCCAGTGACAAACTTAGAATAAGATCATAACAGAAAACGCCAAAGCCCACAGCAATAAATCTGCTCATAGCAGTGATAGTACAGGAAACCAATCATGAAGACTTTTTAGTCATCAAAATTCATACAACTTGATAGTGCTGGTCAATGAATATTATTCTTTCCAAAATTTTGGTTTAACATCGGATGTATGATGTATTCTATCATTTCAAACTGAAATACATGGCATTTCTGCAGTAAGTACAAGCATACAGCTTTACAATTCCAGAAGAAATAGAAAAGCCAGAACAAAGAGTAAAAACCAGAATAGAACTATGAACTATGGCTGAGAGGGGCATATGAATTACCAGCTGGCTGTTAGAGCTAGTTATTTTGTTCCTCTAGAGCAATTGGCGTTTGCAACTGTTCCAACTGTTCTTGTTGTGGCAGCTGCTCTGCTTGCTCTGGGGCAGTTGGTGATTTCAGCTGGTCAAGTGGTAGTGATGGCAATGGGGCTTCTAACAAGTCTTGCCCCTCTTGCTGAGGCAATGATGGTCGCATGGCTGCGGTGATGACAATAGAGACTGTGGTGGTTGTGAGTGCTGGTGTGGATCATCTTGCCAAACCCAAACAATATCCTTCAGTGCTGGCCTTATTCTCCTCTTTCACTAGCTTTTGATACTCCATCGTGTCCCCATTGGTCTTTTTCAACTCAACTAAGAGCAAAGAAGGGGCAACCTCCAAAATCTCTGCATCAAGCTCAAGCACACCCTTCTTTCCTTCCTTTGGAGATGCCAATTTCAAGATCCCATTTTCTTTCATCTTGACCTTCAGCTTTAAGCGTTTGGAAAGCTCCTTTAGCTTTGTAAATACTGTTGTTACAGGCTGTCTGGTAGTAAATCTCTCTTCCCTGCGACCATACTTATCCTCAAAAAACCCAGAAAGATTAAAACCTGTTGAGAGAGAGATGATGTCAAATGCATTCAAGTTTGGGAGGCTTAATGGCCCTTGATTTCCCTCGGACGTACTGCACTCTGTTGAGCCAGAAGTTGTACCTTCACCTGTACAAGTATTCTCGCTTGTTTCGGCCTCATTTTTCTTTGCATGTACTTCAACCGGTTTTCTGTACCAAGCACTCCTCTTTATCCTCGAGATAGAAATTCTAGTGCTTGGATCTGGATCGAGGATTTTATATAGCAGATCCTTCAGCTCAGTTGAGAAAATGCGAGGGCATCTAAACTCGGCTCTGGAAATCTTCCTGTACATCTCTATCAAATTTGTGTCATGGAAAGGAAGGTAACCAGCCACAAGCACAAAAAGAATTACTCCACAAGACCATATATCTGCCTTTGCACCATCATAACCTTTTCTGCTCAGCACTTCAGGAGCAACATAAGCTGGAGTTCCACATGTGGTATGCAGGAGACCATCTTGCCTCTTGGACTCAGCTAGAGCACTCAGACCAAAATCTGAGACTTTAAGGTTTTCGTTCTCATCAAGTAGAAGGTTTTCGGGCTTCAAATCACGGTGATAGACACCTCGACTGTGGCAATAATCAACAGCACTGATCAATTGGTGGAAATATTTCCTCGCAGCATCCTCACTGAGCTTTCCCCCTTAGCAATTTTGTTGAAAAGCTCACCACCTTTAGCATACTCCAAAACAAAATAAATCTTGCTCTTGCTAGCCATAACCTCAAAAAGCTGAAGAACTCTTTATCTGCTCCATGAGCCCAACCTTCATGACCTTGTCCTTGTTAATCATCTTTATGGCAACAGCTTGGCTAGTAGTAAGATTACGAGCATAAAAGACCTTTGCAAAGGTTCCTTGTCCCAGCTGTTTACCGATTTCATAACGTCCCATCAAAATTGTCCTCCTCCCATCCATCGTATCAAACTATGCAACAACAGTATAATGAAGCACCACACCACTTATGAAAGAATGTAGAAGATTTTAATCGTCGTCTCCAAGGTAATGGACAACAAATATAAAGGGCTTCAATCTACTGTGCTTTAAATCATTGAAGAGAAGAACAGTATCAGCATGAAGCCCATGCTCATGAGAAGCCAACAATATCTGCTTGAACAGAGGTAGAATCTTGTTTGCGCAAAAGATTTTCCTGCTGTTTTGCAAGCACATTTTTCAGCATTCCCAAGTCTTCTTCCTCAACAGTCTACAGGTTAAAAACTGCCAATATGAACAATTTGATTAGGATATATAGACACAGATGTAGTGTAGTGACAATCATGATTTCTGGTCAGATGTTAAACAGGTACTTTACTGACTAGGGAACATCAGATGAACTTCATTGCATTATGGCTCTACCACCAAAATTGCATTATTTATGGGTTAAAAGTCTTGAAGACCGCGTATGATCTAATCAGCTCGACCGATTTGAACAAGTATTACATGTTTCAGACACATAACATCAGCCACAATAGCCATGGTCATATGATGGTTTTCAAGATAAAATGCTGCAGTTTCAGTGTTTTTATGAAACAATATCAGTAATCCTCCTCAATTCTATGTCATAGCAACACAAAGCTGACTTCTAGCAAATCAAGAAAATACAAACAACTCCATCAAGACAAATCTAAAGTTCACAAAAACAGCTTCCAGAAGCAGGGTCGGACTCAGACACAGTGTTGGGGCATGTGGGTTCAGTCGAGCCCCTGAATTTTTTTAAACTTCAAATGCACTTGGACCTTGATGAAAAGACCTATGTCTTCAACTGAGGTCGATGACGCGCGATCTAAAGAGGAAGGATAACCCAACCCAATCGGGCCAAACCCTGGGATGAATGGATTAGATTGCTACTCCACTCCGCCAGGCGGCAACAACAGGATCAAATGACAGAAGGAAGTATGATTTGGACCCGGTTGGTCGTTGCTCACAGCATGTATCAAAAATATAAGATCGCGTACAGCTAAACTCATTACTAGAACGATTCCATCCAAGCAGGTTAGGGTTGCTTACCAGCAAAGCAGAATAACTCAAATGTCGAATCCGGATGGATCTCGACTCCATCCCTTGTAAACCCACCAGCAGCACCGCCGCCTGGCTCGCCTGCTCCGGGGCGGAGCTCGATCTTGCGAGAAAGGCGGATGCCTTTGATTTCGTCCCGAGTCAATTGAGCTCCCAGGCAGCAGCAACGGCAGACGATTTGGTCCCGAGGCAGTTGAGCTCCCTGACAGCAACAGTAGCGGTTAACTTGTTCAGCTGATTCGTCGGGAGAGAAAAACACTGTTTTGATTAAAAAAAGAAGCTGAAAAGTAAGAATTATAAGACAAGCGAATAGGACCAGCAGGTATTGTTTGGTTACTGTGATATAAGGATGGGACAGGAACATACAAATGAATGAGTGGCTAAGATTAAATAAGGGGTAAAGAACAGACGAATATGATTGTATATCTCCTGTACCTGTCTCTATCCCTAGAAAAACATCTTCTTAGGAGGTGTTTGGTTCAAGCTACTAAACAGTTTAGTCACTTTTAGTAACTCCAGAGTTACTAAAGATAACTAAAGCCCTTTTAGTTATAGTGTTTGGTTAAAAAGTGACTAAAAGCTACTAAATTTAGTAGCTACTAGGCGAACCAAACAGACCCTTAGTGGTTGGTTTCCTGTGTGACTGTGCCGTCAAGAGGATGCTGGCCCTCAGATCACAACCCCTCAGGATCTTCTGATTCTGGCCGTACAGGACGCGTTTCTTTTGGCGGCGCGCTCCGCGCTTCCGCAACCGCGATGCAAGTGGGCGCCCGTGGTCAATGCCCACCGTCGTGGTGACGGTTGACAGGTTGAGGGAGGGAGTGGACGTTTATGCCCCTAAGGCCTTGACGCGAGGGACCTACCGTCTACGGGTAGGTGTGTCATAGACAGGAGTATCGATTGCTCTGCTCGAGGGGACAGTATGCGCACGCCCCCCAAGAGGTTCAGAAGGCTGGCCGGCCGGCGAGAGATACAGCGGCCGTTGACGGGGGCGGAAAAGCTAGGGTGCAAAGCGATGGAAGCATGAGGAGCAGATAAAACAAAAGGGCAATGGCGATCGAGGCATGAGCTGTCGTGCACGCCACCTCACCTCACCTCACTGGACGGACGAGGTGCTACGCCGCGTCGCCCCGCGCGCTTTCCTGTGTCCCGTGGCCGCGCGCTCCGTTCGTTTGGCTTATAAGTCGTACTTTTTTCAGCCAACGAACAGTATTTTTCTTTCACAATAAATCAGTTAACCGTACTTTCAATCATGACTTATCAGCCAAGCGAACAGGGCAGCGCCCCGCGAGGCGTATGCGTATCATTGCCGTGGCCCGGTGCGCTAGCGCCAGCCGGGGCGTCGACGGGTGTGTCGTACGCCTAATTCACGGACGCCATGCCGCCACGTCCGTGTGCGGTAAGATGGGCCGTCCTCTTTTGATGGTCAGCTGAGGTTCGGCCCCGTAGGCGCGTAGAGATAGAGCTACTAGCTGCTAACGCAGCAATGATTATCACCCTGTTCGCTTGGGCTTGTTTGACTGATAAGTCATGGCTGAAAGTACTGTTGGTTGATTTGACGTGAGAGAAAAATATTATTCGTTAGCTAAAAAATACGGTTTATAAACCCAAACGAACATGTATACGACGCCTTCGGTTGTTTTGGGCGGGCCGTTGCTAACTTTCCGTGGCAGCTACTGAGCTTCCAAAGCTTCGCCAATCACTTCTCGCTTGCCTGGCGAGTTGAGACGGGGGCACTCCTACTCGCGGCCTCGCAAAACAGAGCACCAGGTTGCCCTGACCGATGACGTTCGCGGTTCGCCAGTGTCAGGCTGGAGCCTGCGTCCACGGCACCGATCTCCAGCTTCTGGTACATCATCACATTCCATGATAGCGACGACGTCTTTGTCCTTGCTGCCAGGGTGTGTCTGCCGGCTAAAAAAAATGAATGCTATGGCCACGAGGACGACGATAGCAAAGAGCAGCACGGCCAAGGGCCAATCTCATTATCTCAATACGGTTCTAGTGAGCCCAACCCACGTCAGGCTGTAGAGGTGGTCGGACCCAAAGCTCCCCCCGGCACACCACTACACCAGGTGGCAGGGGCAGCCCTGTTTCTGGATGAACAATCTTCAACCTGTTCGCTTGCTCGTATACGATCGTGGATTATAAACTGGAACAATATTTTTTTCCCACATCAAACCAGCCAGCAGTAAATAATCCACGATCGTTTACGATGAAACGAACAGGCTGTTTCACTTCAGCACCCCAGGAAAGACGGCCCACGGATCCAACTCGCGTGCTTTCTTCCTCTCAAACAGCACGGCAGAAACCGAGCTGTAGTCTCAGTAAGACCATACTCTTTTTGCCAATTAGAAAGATGCATAACAATATATAATTCACAGATTATTCTAACTGACCAATCCAATTGTGCACCAGATTGCACTCTATGCTATGATGAAGACACAACTACAAAGAGATTTGTATGAACTTACGATAATCTCTGAACAAGAAATCGAAAAACATGAACTTGCAAGCAGCAGAACCAACCTGAGTAACGCTTACGCCGGGGAACATGCACGAGAAGCACGCAATGAGGTCCGCCGAGACGGGCGCGCCGCCACAGTTCACCGTCTTCAGTGTGGCCACGTGGGCAGCCGCGCCCGCGTGCTCCTCGGCGGCCCGCACGATGGCCAGCAGCAGCGCCGGCGGCGCCAACGCGAGACGCGTCACACCGAACCTCCCCATTGCAGCTAGCACCGCCGTGGCGTCGAACCTCCCCCTGGCCGTGTGCAGCACAAGCATGTGCGCCGCCGACGCCGCCCCGAGGCATAAGCCTGAGAACGGAGGTTGGTGCTGGTCACTTGTGATTTTTTTTTGATTGGTCACTGGTGAATTGTTTTGACAAATATTTTGTACGCGAGTGTCGCCTGGCGCCCCTTGTTAGGCCCATGTAAGGATGAGAACGGGACGGGCCGCCCATGCATGCCTCGGCCGTGTCCCGTGTCTCGGCCAGCGACGGGGGCGGGGTAGTGGCTGGCCCGTGCCTTGGCCAGCAGTGGCTTCGGCGCCGTCATTAGGCAAAAGTCCATTTTTCCTCCCTTATCTCTTGCAGTCGTCCGATTTTCCTCCCTCAACTACAAAACCAGGAATCTTTCCTCCTCCATCTATGAAAACCGGTTATTTTTGCACCTTGGTTGGTTTCGCAGGCTGTTTGTGCCTAGGTGGACCGCCGACACGGCAACCACGCTGACGTTGTTTCAAAGGATGCGGCCAGCGGCCGAGCGAAACCCTAGGCCATTCCCGTCGCTCCTTTCCTCTCTCTCCCATTGCCATTGATGTCGGCCTCGGCCAGTACGAGCTCATCGCGCGCATCTTGGGCCGGCGATGGAGGCGTACGGCAGTCGCCGATACCCTACCGGGTCGGTCCTCTCGCCTACGAGCCAGCGGTGCTGTGCTACTGCGGGCAGAAGGCTGCTCGCTGGATCTCATGGAGCGACGATAATCCAGGCCGTAGGTATTTCAAGTGCTATCGTGCTCGGGTGAGTGAATGTTGAATTGATGGTGTTCTGAATCCTTGATTTTGGTTGCCAATTTCTGGTTTTGGATGGTAATCTGGGGAAAATTTTGTACACAGAGTGGTGGATGTTCCTTCCGTGGGTGGTATGAACCTCCGCATGATGATTTTGTACGAGATCTTCTAGTCGATTTGTGTGATGTCGTGTGGAATCTAAAAAGGGAGAGGGGCAATTTACAGCAAGATCTTGCTGCTGTCGGGAACCAGCTTGAGCAAGAGAAAACAGAGAATGCACGCTTACTTGCTGCTGTCGGGAAGCAGCTTGAGCAAGCGAAAACAGAGAATGCACGCTTATTAGCCAAGGATGAAGAACGTGTTGCCTCCCTTGCTAAAGTGAAGATGGAGA